ATAGGTAATATATTTTTATAGTATATTTAAAATAAGAAATGCAGTTATTTTCTAAAAAGCGGGACATTTTTAAAAATTGGCGAGACGCAGGACAGTCCACCAAGAAGCGGGACTTTTCATAACATTAAAACGGCCATATCGATTCGGCTGAAATTTTGACAAGACTTAGATTTTACTGAGAGCTTTTGCCAAAAAAATAGTCAGGCTGCCAAATGCAATATAACTTAAAAAATCAAATCTTATTAGAATACTTTATTGTAACGTTAAGTTATACAGTTAGTTTTACGCTACTATCTTTTACATTTTATATCTTACTCTTTATTATCTCCAACTTCCTATCTTTTTCCTTCGTGATATAGGTGAAAAATATCACCCACTCTAGTGCAATAAATATTCTTAGCCGGTATCAAAGTAAAAACAATAAAACTTTGTGGCAATACTTAAAAAGGGTTCTAAGGTATATAAAAGGCTCTCTACCTATATTTAAAATCAACCTATATGAAACATGAATATAATCATTTATTAATTGGCTATGTTGATTCAGCTTGGGTCGGCAATGATAACGACAAAAAAGTACAAGTGGTTATTTATTTAAATTATTTGAAAAATGTACTATTTCTTGGAATAGTCGACGACAAAATATAGTGGCTGCCTCATAAAGAAAGGAATAATACATTGCTCTTTTTGAAGGTGTACGCGAAGCCATATGGGGTTAAAGTCACTACTTAAGAGCATAAAAGTAGAAATTTTACAACTAATTGTTATTTTTCAAGACAATATGGGTTGCATTTGCATTGCCAACAACCCAACAAATCATAAAAGGTCATAACTAGACATCGGATTATATGCAAATGCATATAATTCTATTTTATAGCGTTTTTGCATATTTTGGTATTTTTTCATTAACAGTGCTTATTTCAGTAGTTATACGTGTTAGGCGTGTTATATTATGCCGTTGACACCACAGGTTTCAGCAATATACCCGATGCAATTGAAAAACTAGAAACTAAAAACCTTCATTTGTGGTGAAGTCCTTGGAAATATTAGAAAAAATGATTGAACAGAGTTCAATATCGCAAAAGGTTCGTGACAAATTAAATGCAGTTTTGTATAAAAACCCCGGTCTTGACGAAATAAAGAAAATTAACGCATTTATCAACGGCACCGGACAAACTCTTCCTGAAGAGGTCTCTGCTGGAATGGCGCCAAATTTCATGTTCTGTCCGGTAGCGTCAGTTGACGTCGAAAGGTCATTTTCAGCCTATAAATTGATATTAAGTGACAAACGTCACAAGTTTGCCGTAGAAAACCTGGAAAAATATATTTTTGTTTATTGTCACAAAAATTATAATAAATAAGTTAAAAATTATAATATTCACAGCACACTTACAGTTTGT